GGGTCCCTGGTCATGTTGACGTACAGGGCAATGAACAGGCAGACATTGCTGCATGGTCAGCAGTATGTGACCTACCAGTTTCATATAGAGGTGTTCCATTTATGAACTATTTTGCTGTAATAGCTACCCACTTTCACACCTGTTGGCAACAACGTTGGTCTGCTCTGCTCAACAACAAACTTTGTTCTATTAAACCGAGTATAGGTTACTACCGTCTTCTTGCCACCAGTGTCAAGGTTGGGAGACTACTCTCTCCCGCCTTCACATTGGCCATACTCGTCTTACTCATGGATATCTCATGGAGAGGCGCCCTGCTCCTCTCTGTGAGAATTGTCAGGTTCCATTATCGGTCAGCCACATTCTGTTAGCCTGCCCACTTTATCAATGAGCATGCAGAATTTACCTCCAATGTCGTCTTCGCTCCGCTGCTCTCTCTTTACCTTCCCTTCTCGCTGATGGACCCACCTTTCATCCGGACTCTCTCATTGACTTTTTGACAACAACTGACTTACTCCACAAACTCTGATGATACCTTCAGCCCTTTCTACCTCAATCTCGTGCTACCCTCTACCCCTGCACTATCCCCTGCTCCGCTGTTTTCTGTACCCTACTAATCATCCCTCCCCCCTTCTGCCGCCCAATACCCTCGCTTCCTTCCCTACCCTGCAGCGCTGTATAGCCCTTGTGGCTTAGCGCTTCTTTTTGATTATAATAATAATAATTATAATATTATTATTATTATATTGTATTATTATTATTGTTATAATAATAATAATTATTATTATTATTATTAGTAGTAGTAGTAGTAGTAGTAGTATATACCTGGTGAGGGGCTCTTGATCTCGGGAATTGGATCTCTGCTCCAGGTCCCTAAATTAATAATAATATAATTATTATAATAATAATTATTATTATAATAATACATAAGTACTAATAATAATGATAATATAATATAATAATATATAATACATAATAGTACAATATTTATAATAATAACACTATGTACGTACTACTGCATATTATTTAGTTCGACAACACCACCACAATGGTCACCAGTGCACATGTGCTTATGGAGCTACCCTCGCAGTGCAAGGAATTCTCGTGATTTCCATATGGTTCATGTAATTAATTCGCCAGATTTCTTTCTTCTAACCATGGGCCATAAGGAAGCAAGTGCAAAGGACAGTGCCAAGAAGTAAAAAAAAAAGGATGATTTTCTTGGAATTAAAGCAAGAAATGATTAATAAGCACAGACTAGGTACAAGGGTTGAGAACTTGGCGAGTTGAGTATAAGCGTAGCCCCTCTACTATATGTATCTACGGGTTTAGCGCTTCCCCATGATTATAATAATATACTATGTGTGCAATACTGAAGCAGGAGTCTATAAAAGCTATAGTGCCAGCAAAAGGCGTTACAGTAATTGTTGACATGGTTGACGGAGAAACAGTTCACAGGAGATACATAGTGTAGCGAGATAAACATAAAAATTGTACATAGCAATCCTTAAGAAAAGTGTGAACTCCTGACAGGATATGCTGCTCTGCATTTCTTCTCCAACATATGTAAATGTCATATGTACACCAGATCTAATTCAGTTAGCCTCACAAACTCCTCATTCTCTTATAACACCTCTGATGTTTTCGTAGCTAGAATGTTCGACCACAATCCTCCTCCCTCTGCTGTCCACATAATGACATATTTTGTTCATTCTAGAGTGTATATTAGGTTTCTGTCTTATTTATATTGCTCATAATGTCATATTAAATTAATTTTGACAGATAAATAAGCCGTAGAGTTAATATTAGGGTTATTTTGTCATGCCTCCTGAGAGCAGGAATTCAGCTGGAACAAATTAATTGCATTTCAATTAATTTAAATGAGGAAAATTGACCCAGCATACTAACAAATCAGGATACGAACAAGTCCACGGAATGGACGGATTAATAGCCTAACGCTATTAATCCGTTCCTGAGAGCTCAACGTTAGGCGAAATTATCATTAGGCGAATTAATTTTCCCCATAAGAAATAATCGCAATCAAATTAATCCATTCCTGACACCCCAAAGTATGAACAAAAAATTTTTTTTGCCACATGAAATATTAATTTTAATACACTCAAACTGAAGAAGACATGCACAGTTACATGACACTTACCTTTATTGAAGATCTGGTGATGATTGATAGGATGGGAGTAGTGGAGACTGTGGATGGTGTTAATGTTTAGAAGGGGAATCCCCTTCCATTAGGACTTGAGGTGTCAAGTCCTTTTCCGGGGTTGCTTCCCTTCTTCTTTTAATGCCACTAGGACCAGCTTGAGAGTCACTGGACCTCTGTCACACAACATATCTGTCCATAGAGGTCTGTACCTCCCTTTCCTTTATGACATTCCTAAAGTGTTTCACAACATTGTCAGTGTAATAGTCACCAGCACGGCTTGCAATAGCTGTGTGAGGGTGATTTTCATCAAAAAAGGTTTACACTTTAAGCCACATTGCACACATTTCCTTAATCTTTGAAGTAGGCAACTTCCTCAATTTCTCTATCCCCTCCTTCGAAGCAGTTTCCTCAGTTGTGGCCTCTTGCTGTTGAAGATGATCTAGCAGCTCATCAGTGGTTAGTTCTTCATTGTCCTCCTCCACCAACTCTTCCACATCCTCCCCACTAACCTCCAACCCCAAGGACTTCCCAATGCCACAATGGATTCCTCAACTGGCATAGGATTCCCAGGGTTAGCCTCTAACCCTTCAAAATCTTTTTTGTCTACACATTCTGGCCACAATTTCTTCCAAGCAGAGTTCAAGGTCCTCTTAGTCACTTCCTCCCAAGCCTTACCTGTAATGTTTACACAATTGAGGATGCTAAAGTGATCTCTCCAAAACTCTCTTAGAGTCAATTGAGTTTCTGAGGTCACTACAAAGCACCTTTCAAACATAGCTTTTGTGTACAGTTTCTTGAAGTTGGAGACGACCTGCTGGTCCATGGGCTGCAGGAGAGGAGTGGTATTAGGAGGCAAAAACTTGACCTTAATGAAGCTCATTTCCGCAGAAAGTCGCTCTGCCACGTCTGAAGGATGACCAGGAGCATTGTCTAATACCAGGAGGCACTTAAGGTCTAATTTCTTTTCAGTTAGGTAATTTTTCACAGTGGGGGCAAATGCATGGTGTAACCAGTCATAGAAAAAGTCCCTAGTGACCCATGCCTTACTGTTTGCCCTCCACAGCACACACAAATTAGCCTTGAGGACATTGTTTTTCATGAACACTCCGGGAGTTTCAGAGTGATACACCAATAAAGGCTTCACTTTGCAATCACCACTAGCACTGGCACACATCAACAGAATAAGCCTGTCTTTCATAGGCTTATGTCCTGGGAGTGCCTTTTCCTCCTGAGTAATGTAGGTCCTGCTTGGCATTTTCTTCCAAAACAGGCCTGTTTCGTCACAATTAAACACTTGTTCAGGTTTCAGTCCTTCACTGTCTATGTACTCCTTGAATTCCTGCACATATTTTTCATCTGCTTTGTGGTCCGAACTGGCAGCCTCACCATGCCTTATCACACTATGTATGCCACTACAATTCTTAAATCTCTCAAATCAACCTTTGCTGGCCTTAAATTCACTCACATCATCACTAGTTGCAGGCATTTTTCTAATTAAATTGTCATGCAACTTCCTAGCCTTTTCACATATGATCGCTTGAGAGATGCTATCTCCTGCTATCTGTTTTTCGTTTATCCACACCAATAACAGTCTCTCAACATCTTCTATCACTTGCGATCTCGGTTTCGAAAACAAAGTTGCACCTTTTGTAAGAACAGCTTCCTTGATTGCCATTTTCTTGGCCACAATAGTAGCGATGGTTGATTGGGGTTTTGTGTACAACCTGGCCAGCTCGGAGACACGCACTCCACTTTCATACTTAGCAATGATCTCTTTCTTCATATCCATAGTAATTCTCACTCTTTTTGCTGTAGAGTTGGCACTAGAAGCTTTCTTGGGGCCCATGGTGACTTATTTTGCAGATGCAATCACTAAAAAGGCTGTGATAATATGGAATGTTCCGATTGTATGTTTGGAAGCAACCGCGGTGGCTGGCTTGTAAACACTGGCACCCACGGAACAAGTGAAGCGTGCTCAGGCCGCACGTGGACACGTCTCGAATGAATCACATTGAGCGAGTTTTTTAGTGCTAGCCGAGGCAAAATTTTTGCGTTAAAGTGTATCGCTAGGCGGATTTAACGTTTTGCGATGCGTTCGTTAGGCGAGGGTCCACTGTATATCTATTGTGTCCTGTTTAAGCCAGGTTTCAGTGAGAATAATACAGGAGAAGGTTGTCTTTAGGAAATCAAGGAGTGCAAGGTCATCATAATGTTTACTTAGAGACCCAATGTTGTAATTGAGAACTGTAATACGTATTTCTGGCATTACTTTAGACAGTGCTGGCTTGTGATGCTGTGTCATAGAGGCAGTTACTTTCCATTAAATTTTGATTGGGAGTTAGATTATAAAGATTTAGATCTGGGTCTATGTGATCATTCAGCATTTAGGTTAAATGGTAATTATTTATATTATTTATAGTGTGTTAAGTTCCAATAATGATATCTGTAATAAGGGGACGTTTGGACAAGTGTGTAGCTAATGGGTGTCAGTTACATAGAGTGTAGAAACTAATAAACATAATGAACTTAGGTGTAAAGCTATTATATAAAGCTATTAAGCTATTGTATAAAGCTATTAAGACAAAATTATAAGATAATGTAGCACCAGACTATGATTTGTTATTGCACTAAAGCTAACTAAAGTTGTTTACATTGGATAGTAGAATAAAATGTGCACAGTTTTAAATTAAAGACTATATGGATTTTAGCAGTGATATGATAATAAGAAGGTAAAGAACAGATATTTGTAACAGATGTTAATAAATTGTAAATTACTTTGTCAAGGTTTGTGTTTATATACTATTCCCAGGTTTATAATATATTGTATATTTTTTATCATCAGAGTGCCATGGATCCATACTACAATGAGAATCTTCACTTTCCTCTTTTGATGATACTAAAAAGGCTTGGGACCAACAACTAGTACTGATACAGTTATCTCCAGACAAGACGTACAAGTATTTGGTAAATTGTATGCTTTGAAGACATACATATGACAGTTTTACTGTGTTTGCCTGTTTTAATTATTTTGGTACATGAAGCTTGGCTTATTTTAGTACCTATGTTAATCTTCAAGGAATGTTGTTAGGCTTCATGTGTATACTACTGGAGAACATGAAATAAGTTCCTATTTATTAATACTATTGTTATTTTAATCTTCAAAACTGTTATAGTTTTAGTTGGAATTAGGACATTGATTTTTAGACTCCCTTTGTATTGTTATGCTTGTGACTTAACACCCTTGTTTCATTACTTGTTCCACTTGAGTTTAATCACTTAAACTACTTAATACTCTATCTGATGGAATCAGTGAATATTATGTAAGGCATATCATTAGGTTAATGAAAAGTTTTAAGTCTACAGTGCAATATTATTGCATCTGTGAAGCTAAAATAGGTGGTAAAAGTCTGTATGCAGAGCACACTATTTAAAAAATTTAATATTGTACTATAATCAGTACCAATAACTAAAATAATTATATGGCATTTTTGCAAAGTTGTAGTGTAACACTCATTTCAATTTATTATTTGGTAGCCTTTTATCTATGCATCAAAAAAATGTGGTGTTCTAAAGCCTTTACCTCTCCATACCTTTTCTGAACCCTCATTCCAACCCTCCTAGGGTATATCCTACACATCTTTCCACTCATCTTTTATTTACTCTTAATTATCCTATCATTCTCGATTCTTTCTATATGACCAAGCCATGTCATCAATTTCTTTTCTGCTGTGATTTATACCTTTCATGTTATTATAATATCTTCTATTTTCTTTTTTCCTTGTTCTTTCCATAACACAATGATCTCAAAAAGACATTTCCACTGCCTCCTACCTCTTCCTTGCAGCAGTGTTTAAAGATAATGCTTTATACCCACAATAAAACAATGTCAGCACTGCTATACTCTGATACATTCCTATTTTTGCATAAGTTGACAAACTTTTTTCATCCACAGACTCCTCAACACTCCTTATTTACTGAATGATTTACCTCATTCTTCTTGTCAGAAGAGAGTTTGCAGTTACGGGACCTGACTGCTGTTCAGACATACTGTTTACACTCAGTAGTCATTGGATATAATAAAACTATCGAGTCAAAACTTGTGAAAGTGCTGTGTTATTCAGATGACATTAGTATAAATACAAATGTAATATAAATCAGTAGTTGTTAGGACATCATTAACTAAGTTTATATATATAAAACCACAGCCAGTTTCGTTGTCTGACTCCCTACCTTCATTACAGTGGAACCTTGGTTGTCGAATTCAGTTTGATCCAGATGTTGATTTGACTACCAAAATAGATGACAACCAAAGCAATTTTTCCCATAAAGAATAATGTAAATAGAATTAATCCCTTTTAGACCCCCAACTGACAATATAATAATTTATTAAAAATGTACTACTACATAAAATTGTAAAAATGAATACTTAAAGAAACTTTAACTGAAATGCTGTACAGTAAATGAAAATGTAACTGCCTCTTACCTGTCAGAGGAGAGCTAATGGCATACTGGAAGCAGGAGGTAGAGGACTGCTTAGAAGGAGAGTCACCTATTAATATGTCAGGCAACTGTCCTTCTGGTGATGTTTCTCTTCTTTGTCTCTCTTCACCACTAACCATGTTCTGGCTCATGGTTTTTTGTCTCGCTAGAAACCTGTCCAGTGAGATTTTTCATTCTCCATTTTAACACTTGTCTAAACTGGGACATTACACTGTCATTGTGTGTGTTAGAGAGACAGATGTCTGGATGATATTTTGTTGGCAAGCACCTGCACTTCACACCATTTAGCACACATTTCCTTGACAAGTGCAGTGAGCACTTCATCCCTTTTCTCCTCTTCCTCTGATGACAGCTCCTCTGCTGCAGTCCATTGCTGTTCCTTCTGAAGGTCTACAGGCTCTGTGGTGAGTTCACTTCTGTGCTCCTCCACCAACTTATCCACATCATCTTCAGTCATCTCTAGGCCCAAGGCCTTCCCCAGGGACAAAATATCCTATACCCCTATACCGGTTCAGGCTTATCTTCAAAGCCTTCAAAATCCCTGGCTGCCACAGAGTCAGGCCACAGTTTCTTCCATGCTGGCTGCATGGTCCTGGAAGACACGTTTCCCTGAGTTTGTCTATAAGCCTCAAGCAGGCTAATTTTGTTTCTGAAGTGATTTCAAAGCACCTTTAAAAAAGTGCTTTGGTGTAGAGTTTCTTGAAGTTAGAAATGAACTGCTTGTCCATGGGCTAGATGAGAGGAGTGGTGTCAAGAGGCAGGAACTTCACGGTTATAAAACTGAACTCCTCGAGCAACTTATTTTCCAAGCTTGGAGGGTGAGCAGGAACATAATCCACAAGTAAAAGGGCCCTGAGTGGCAATTGTTTTTAATGAGCTACTTTTTGACAGTGGGAGCAAAGACCTCATGAACCCACTCAATAAAAAATTGTCTTGTTACCCAAGCTTTCATGTTGGCCCTCTACATTACAGCCAGTTTGTTTTTCTTAACATTGTTCTTAAAAGCTCATGGATTTTCGGAATAATAAACAAGTAAGGGCTTCAATTTCAAGTCCCCACCTCCATTACTAGACAGTAACAGAGTGAGCCTGTCTTTCACTGGCTTGTCTCCTGACATTGATTTTTCCTTTTCCATTATGTAGGTCCTCTTGGGCATTTTCTTTTAGTAGAGGCCTGTCTCGTCACAAACACTTGCTGGGGGACAAACCTCTCAGCCTCTGTGTACTCTTGGTATTCAGTAACATACTTTTCAACAGCCACTTTGTCAGCCTCCCCATGCTTAGCCACTTCTTTTCTTAAAATTATCAAACCATCTCCTACTAGCCTTGACTCAGACCCATGCTGTCGACTCATTGTCCAGTGCGCATTCTGTGAGCATGTGACCCAAACCGTTTGCTTTGTTGGTCGACAACCAAGGGAACATATGAAAACCAGGATATTTTTCTCCTTGAATTCCCTTTTCAAAAACTGATTTGTTCAACAAGTAATGTGGTTGTCAACAAAGGTTCCACTGTACTAGCTCTAAATAAGCCCAATATCTGAAAGTAATATTATTTTGTATGAGGCCAGATACAGATATACATACATGAAATATTGATGAAGAGATTAAAGTTAAACTTTTGTGGCTTCTCACATGAGCCTGTGGGAGCATTGTGAGGTTGATATCTCGGCCAAATTAGCAATAAACAAAGAATGTGACATTCGTTCATTATATTTCAGAATGTCCAGATATACTTAGATGAATCCAAACAGACCATACAGGAAAGGGTAAAACACTTCCTTGCTAATGATAAAATAGCTGAAATTTTCAGATTGTTTCCACCTCTTTGCACTGGCTAGATGAGATTGTTTCAACCTCTTTGCACCAGCTAGAGGAATGAACTTATTTAATGAGATTCTAACCTGGTAAGTGATCACAGTTTATAGTGGTAATGATAATTTGTTTGAAGATTGTATTTGCATTATGCACTGAGTAGATGATTAGTTATGAGATAAGATTGTAATATATGGAATGACTAATATCTTAATGATGCAAGTATTGCATCTAAGCCCAGTGAGGTTCTGGCAAAGACCCATTGTGACCTCTGTAATCCTGTTTTTATGCTTCTGTTAACAGGATGAGAAATGAGTGCTTAATGACAGTCACTTAGCTGGCACCAAGGAAGTGTTTTATTACATGTTACATAATGTGAACGCATTACAAATAAAATTTAATGTATCAGTGCTTCAGAACACTTGTATAAATTTTGAATTTGTTTATATTATTATCATTAGTAATGTACATTAATTTCCATCAAATAAACACTGTTTTGTTGTGAATTAAGAGGTAAACACAGTATCACTGGTACATGCTTGATCACCAGTATATCAGATACTCACCTTGCAAACTCTCTATATCCATCTGACCCTTACAGGTTTAGCACTTGGTTATGATTATAATAAATTACACCCATCTGCTGATTCATCTACTCCTAGTATCTGAATACTTTTCCTTCCATCATACTCATGCCTATCATTTTGATCTCTTAATGTTTCATTGTCTGACTTTCTACTTATTTTCATCCACTTGCTCTATTCTACATTCATTTTTATAATTACTTTTTGTACACCCTTTCAGTCTCCTTTGCTGACTTCTGAATTTAATAGCACTGTTTCAGCCACAAACAGTATTTGTTACTATTTCCACATGGATTCAAATTCATTTTCATTTTGAACTACAGTCTCCCAAGCATTCAACCATTTATATCTATTTCAACCATGTGTAAACTCAACCATTCTTGTGTAACATGCAAGATTTCAGGTACATCTTGCTACTTCTACTTACACTTAGGTCACACTACACATACATGTACAAGCATATATATACACACCCCTCTGGGTTTTCTTCTATTTTTTTCTAGTTCTTGCTCTTGTTTGTTTCCTCTTATCTCCATGGGGAAGTGGAACAGAATTCTTCCTCCGTAAGCCATGTGTGTCGTAAGAGGCGACTAAAATGCCGGGAGCAAGGGGCTAGTAACCCCTTCTCCTGCATATATTACTGAATGTAAAAGGAGAAACTTTCGTTTTTCGTTTTGGGCCACCCCGCCTCGGTGGGATACGGCCGGTGTGTTGAAAGAAAGAAAGATTCTTGTGTAAGTCTCACTTGTACTGGGAATCTTTTTCCCTTCATTTACACACTGACCTTTTTATTATTTCCCAAATAACTTTTGTTACAGCTTTCAAGAGCATAGTACAGGAAGGCCCCGCTTTACGGCGTTTCACTTTACGGCGTTCCGCTAATACGGACATTTCAAATTATGACCAAAACTCACTATACGGCTCCCCCCACCTGACTTTCTAATACGGTCACCGTGCCCCACCCTGTTTGTTTACATTCTCCATGAGCTCAGTAAGCACTAAGTCTCTCCATTTTGTCTGGAAACTCCAAAATTTCAAATGTTTTTTAAAAGTTATTTCATATTTTATATTACTCTGATAATTATACTTATGTATACCTGTACCTAAATAAACTTACATACATCGAGTCATTTAAATGTCGTATATTACGTTAATATACACATTTTCATTAATCCATCCATGATATTTTTTTCAAATTATATAATAAACACGATGCATAACATATAAATAAGATAAATACACCCCACAGTAGAATAAATAAACAAATGTGAGATGTCGTAGCAGACGACTTGCACAAGTGGTGATAATAACAATACTGAGTCTCATTAAATGTCGTATATTACGGTAATATACACATTTTCATTAATCCATCCATGATATTTTTTTCAAAATCATATAATAAACACGATGCATAACATATAAATAAGATAAATACACCCCACAGTAGAATAAATAAACAAATGTGAGATGTCGTAGCAGACGACTTGCACAAGTGGTGATAATAACAATACCGAGTCTCATTAAATGTCGTATATTACGGTAATATACACATTTTCATTAATCCATCCATGATATTTTTTTCAAAATTATATAATAAACACGATACATAACATAAAAAGATGATAAATACACCCCACAATAGAATAAATAAACATAAATATAAGATGTGGGAGCCACATAACTTGTACAAGTGACGCCAAGAATAACATTTTCTCTAATCTAACATAAGAGTAAAATGTGTTACTGGGGGTAACTGTAGAAAATTATTCCTTTCGTATGTATGTAAGTAAGTTTATTCAGGTATACACAAATACAGTTACATAGATTATCATACATAACAACATACGTGTAGAGAACCTAGGATAACCCAAAAAAGTCAGTGTGACTTATTTCCATTGCCTTCACTCAGAGCTTCATTTCTTCTCAAAATGATGTTACATGAGAATGGGAGTGTTCTTCTTTATTAATTCTACCGTATCAATGTAGAGACAACCTGTACACAATGTAACTTGTACACAAACCAGACGTGTACACTTCGTTTGTTTACAAAACTTACCTTCGCCTGGTTTGTTTACATAACTGCGCCTGCCCCCTCTCATGTATTCATTCTTTCTCTCTCTCATTTATTCGTTTTATCTCATTTACTTACTCCTGACCCTACATTAAGACTACAAATATTTTAAGGTAAGTAATGAGTGAACTGTATATACATTTTATCGCTCTGGGATGCTTAAATATCATAGAATAGTATGTGTGGGTGGGGTGGCCTGGTGAGGCTATTACAATACATACCACACTTGATTTCTTACAATAAATACTACTTGTCTCACCCTAGATTAAGACTATAAATATTTTAAGGTAAGTAATGAGTGCACTATGTGTGTATTGTACCTTTTTATTGTTTTTTGATGCCTGGTTCTATTGCTAACTTAATATATGTTAGTGTAAACTTGTTATCTAGTGTTTGTATGCATTTATAAGTGGAAAAAAAGGGTGTTCCACTTTACGGCGATTTCCGCTTTACGGCGGTAGCCTGGAACCTAACCCGCCGTATAAGTGGGGCCTTCCTGTATATATTTCATATGTTTGCCCATTTCATTGACAAGAATTCTGAATGATCTTATTAGTCCAAGTGCTCTGTAAATCTTGAAAGTTCCTTCATTCTTTTCATACAGGTACAACACTGAAACATTGCTTGCCAATCCAATATATCATAGGATTTCTCTAAATACACATATACAATGAACAAGTTTGCTTATTGCTTTGTCTAGGTTCTGCACTACTTATATGCTTCAATGATAACACTGTGGTTCTAAACAAACTATGTTCAGTAATCATTTTTTCTGTTCCAGTCAGTCAATAAAATCTCTAACCAATCACAGTACTAGCATAAGTTCTATTTAGTAAAACAGTGCTTAACAAATGTACTCTACTATAATTGTTACATTTACTTGTCCACTTTCCTTATAAAGAAAGATACTATAAGTGCTTTCTGACAATTCTTGGGCATCTTTTTGTTCTTCATTTACACACACAATAAATGCACCAACTATTGCAGCAGGATATAACAGTGTGCTTTCAGCATTTCAATCTTAATCTCATTCACATCTGCCTTTTTCAGTTTCAGACTTTTTAATGTGTTATTAACTTTTCCATATCTGTTTCTTGAACATCATTCATTCCTTTTCATCCTAAGCATGAAATTTTTGTCTCCATTACATCATATAATTGCAACAGTTTCATTTTATTTTCTCCATCTTTCTGACCGATTCATTTACTCCCATGGTTGTTTCACCTTATTTATCTGATTTTTTTGCATGGAAAACTTTATTAATAGCACCTTACTCATTCTTTCATTTGCTTTTTTTTTTTAACTCTTTTTATCACTCATTTAAAAAAAATTTCAGTTTGCCATTTTGCACCCCAAATCTTTCATGAACTGGCCTCTTCAAGGGGGAGGGGGGTGTCCCTTGAAGTGATGAAGAGTCTTGTGGTCTGAGGAATTGGACCTTTCTATCTTCTTCCTTCAACCAAACCTAATTACCCCCATTCCTCCCTGCTCTATCCCATTCCACCTTTCCCCACTCCTCCTCCTTTCCCCATCCCTCCCCTTTCAAAAGCATCCTTTCCTGCTTTGGCCTTTTGGGGCTTTCCCTTTGAAATTCTAGCTCCTAGGTTGGGGTGAAGGTGTCATTGTCCATCCCATTGCATTGAGGTTCTTGGTGGTGGTGTAGTTTGCCGTGGAATCTGGACCATCTGGAGATGTCCCGATTTCCCCTCCAGAGTTCCAGGAGTAGCTTATGATGTCCTTCAGGTGACAGGTGTATCACTGGTGGCTGCCTGTTGGTTCCAGGAGGTGGTGGCCAAAGGAGGTATGCCTTGTGGTGGGTTTCCGATCGCCCTCTCACTTGTCTGCTGAGGTGGCTCAGTAGATGTGAGGTTGCTATCCTGGATTGCTGGCTCACTGGTACGAAGGGCATCTACACTACTGGCTGCACTTAGGCGCAGAGAGGGATGTTTGATCCCTTTCATTCCTCCTAGGATCTACCCCTTCAAGTATCCCTTGTTTTTTCTTATTTTTTCCTCTGTTTCTTTGAAAAAAAAAAGACTTAACTATCGAGTCCCATGCCTGTGAAATGCCTCCTCCCAGACCCCTTTCTCCTGTGGTGCCCTCTCATAACCCTGTCTCATTATTAGACCATTCTTCAGACCTCTCTCACACCCCAGTACCTTCTGCAGGTAACATTTCATTGCCTACCTCTGGTATCAAGGTTTGGCCTGACTCTCTTGATACATTGAACCTCCACATGTCTTTGACCATGCTTCTGGCTTCTCCCAATACCTAAATGACCATGACCATTAACCCTTTGAGGGTCGACAGGCCCTCTCCGAGACTCGTTCTCAGGGTCGGCCAAATTTAGAAAAAAAAAAAAAATTCTTATGAAAAGATAGAGAATCTTTTCCTGATCATAATGACACCAAAAGTATGAAATTTGATGGAAAACTTACGGAATTATGCTCTCACGAAGTTAGCGGTCTCGGCGATGTTTACGCATCGGCAATTTTGCCCACTTTGAGCTCCATTTTCGGTCAGTTCCACTGTACTAGTCGACAAAACACATGAATATTTCGCTAGAACTCCATTTTTTCTATCAAATTTCAACTATCCAGTACAGTGGACAGAATTTAGCAATTTTGCCAATTTCACACAAATTTCAAAAGATGCCAATTTCCGAATAGGGTCCAGAATAAACAAGAAAGACATTCCTGGCACTAAAATGACATTTCCTCTGTTCATTAGTCACGTCTCAAGGCCCCTCTTACCTTCTTTTGCTTTCCACTTTGAATTTTTATTCTCACAAAAAATAGAAGATTTACTGTTATGCAGACTACTGCATTAGTGTAAAAAATGGTATAAATAATATTGGCGCACTTGCGAAAGAATATTAGACTCACCAGTTGACATGTATTGGACGCTTGGCATGATTTGTTTACTTTTGAACTTTGGTAAAAATCGAATATTTCTGATACTTTGAGCTCAATTTCAAGGTACTTTTCATTGTAAAACCAGTCAAAATCATCTCAATTTCTGTAATATGTCTTCCATTCTATAAAATGAGACCAAGAAAACTAGAATACAACAATAAATACCATACGAAAATACAGTGCAAAGTCGCTGTTTTATTCCAAAAAAACAGTCAAAGTTTTTTTTTCTCATTATGCATTGTGTGCTGCAGGATTTTTTTTATACTGTGCACACTGACCACATAGACCCATTCTTTCATATGTAGGCCTACCAGCTTTCTCCCACTAGATTTGAGGGTGCTTGAAATTTAGGCGTACTAGTACGTCAAAAACCCTGGGTTGTAAGCCGTACTAGTACGGCCGAAACCCTCAAAGGGTTAACAGATGACACTGTCACAGTTACCTCTCACCCCTCCCAGACAAAACCAACATGACACTTACTTCTCTTATACTCAACATTTCATGGTACACAGTGGAGTAAGTTTTTCACTCAACAACTGACATTTCCCAATGACTATTTTTCTGATCATAGTATCAGCAAAGCACTCCTTCATCATGCCGGTCAAAATATTTCAAATCATACTCTTAATTCTTTGACTGTTTTGGTCGTATAAATACGTCTTACGAGCCACCGTGTTTGACGTATATATACTCATAAATTCTAGCGGCTTCAAATCAAGCAGGAAAAAGCTGGTAGGCCCACATGTGAGAGAATGGGTGAACCATATAAAAAAAAACCTGCAGCACACAGTGCATAATGAGAAAAAAAAACTCCGACTTTTTTTTTTAATTAAAATGCCGACTTTGTGGTCTATTTTCGTATAGTATTTATGGTTGTATTCTCATTTTCTTGGTCACATTTGATAGAATGGAAAACATATTATAAAAATAGAGGTGATTCTGATTAGTTTTACTATGAAAAGAACCTTGAAATGGAGCTCAAAGTAGGGGAAATGTTTGATTTTTGCCGATGTTCAAAAGTAAATAAATGATGTC